AAGGACCAGAAAAAAGACAGGTGAAATAAGAAAAATGTAAGTGCATTCTGCTTGGATAATACTCTGTAACTAGGATAAGTGACTGTGGTCTAGAGCAGTTAGAGAATGCTTCCTGGAAAAGGCTATGTATGCATATGTGTGTGTTGGGTAGGGGTAAACAGTATTTTCCAAGTTTTTAGCATGGACAGAATTGAGAAGGTTGGGAGGACATAGTTCTTCTGGAGGGAAAGAGCCTAAACACAGATAAGTAAAAGAATTATCCAAGGCGTGCTATGCATAGTGAGATATTTAGAACATCAGCCTGATTTTCCTTGACTCAAGTGGGCCAATGGGGATGAAAAGATACAACAGTGCCTAATGATCCATTATAGAGTGACCCATAAAAGATAAATAAAAAATCCAATTATAAAAATGCATTACAGTGAAAATTTTGAGGGAGAGGTGGAATAATGGATGATATCACGGAGAAAAAAGAAGTAAAAAAACTTGTTCATATTTTTAAAATGGATTTTGATGGTTATTGACTTACTGTCATATTTGGATTTCATTAGATACATTTAAATCATCCTATGATTATACTTATTTGATGATCATATTTACCTCTTGTAGTGACTTTTCTCTTAAATTCTATTTCATCCAGTATTAACAGGGCTGCACTGTCAGGCTTTCAGTTGGTATCTGGTGCATATTCCTCCATCATTTTACTTTCAAACCCTATATGCACTATTTGTGTTTCTTTTAAACAACATATTTTTTTTTACATCAGTTTAGCAATTACTACCTTTTAATTGGAACATGAAGGCAGGCACTTCTATTTGATGTGATTATTGATAGACATAGTTTTGACACTATTATTTTAGCATAGTTTTTCTCTTTATCTTGCCCAGCATTTGTTCTTTTCTCCTCACTTCCTTGCCTTCTTTTATATATTATTTTTGTTATTATTCCATTTCCCCTCTTTGTTTAGAAGATCAACACTCACTTTCTAATCTTTAATGGTATCTTGACAACTTTAACATGCTTCTTTTCTTGACAAAATAGTTACTTTAACTTTTTTCTTAGGCTATATAAAAAAACTTTTAGTAGCCTGTCTCCACTCACCTGGGAATCATCAAACTAGCTCCTGTTCACCACGTTAGTCTTCAGTGTTAACTCCACTTCCTCAGAGTACCCTGCCCTGATACACCTTCCCCACAAACTACAGCCATAATTAAAAAAAAAAAATCAATGCTATAATTATTTCCAATCACATTCTATCTCTTCTTCGAATATCTTACCATAAATTAGTAATATATTTAATTTGGATGACTTATTTAAGGCCTAGTTCTTTCATCAGGGAAAGTTTGATGGGATTAGGGACATTTTAATCTTGGATGTTGCTTGCATCTCTTCCCTTGGATCTTTGTAGACAACAAAGTGCTTATTTACAGTGTAGTATAAATGCTCCTACCATGGCTGACTTCAAACTACCAACTAGGTAGATGCAAATTTGGTGAGAGATGTACGTAACTGGTTTAGCACATGACTGAAAGTAGGAATTTTGTCATTAGCATTATGAAGTGTTATAAACCTACTAAACTAGATTCATAATTCTCCTCTTTTTATGGTCTAAATGCATATTTGAAAAAAAATCTTTGACACATGGAATATTTTAAGAGAACTTACCTCAGAGTATATTTAGTTGGTTATTATTGTATATTTGTTTTCCTCCAAACTATCTGAGCTTTCTGTTACATTAACATCTGGGCTTTTGCTATATTTAGGTGTATGAAGTAATCAGATTATTAGTTTTATCACCATTTGAATAAAAGTTGACTTAACTAATAAGCTCAGTATATTTGGGTTCATCAAATGAGTAAAATACACTAAAATATTATATATATAAAATACATATACATATACATAATATATGTCTACCTTTGGTGAGGAGAGTGGTTTGGCTACATTTAGTTAACTATGTGGCCCATCCTCTGCCCCCAACTCCCAGATAAGGTAACAAGCTTACCTAATACATTTCTGTAAGTGCAACTCACTGCAAACTTCCTATTTAAATAAGACAAGGAAAAACGGAAAAGAAACACAGATCACTGATATATTACTAAGCTAACAGACTTTCTGCTAAGAAAGTCAAGGATTGATCTACATTAAAAATGTGATTTACTCCAGAAAGAGAATAATTAAGCATTAGTCAATAGCTAAGGCATTTTAATAGTATCTTTCTAACAGCTGAAAAATGCATTAGAAGACTAAAATCTGGACCTGTAAAAAGCTTCATTAATTAAACAAAAATCCTTTTCTTCCCACTGGGAAACTGTCAAAATATTTTCAAAAGTGGATGTCAGATGAAGCAGATACATAGTTACATACAGAAATACTCTGAGTTCATATGTGTCCTAGAATCTGGAAGCGTAAGCCATTTGATGATTTCAAACTGGGAGAAAAATACAGATTATATCAATGCCTTACATACCATCAAAATGGTTTAATTAAACATAGCATGTGGGCAGGCATTCTCTGTACCCTGCAGGGAATATTATGAAGGCTTGAAAAATGCTTCCTGACTTCAGGGTACTTTGACCTGGACTCAAGGACCAGAAAAAAGACAGGTGAAATAAGAAAAATGTAAGTGCATTCTGCTTGGATAATACTCTGTAACTAGGATAAGTGACTGTGGTCTAGAGCAGTTAGAGAATGCTTCCTGGAAAAGGCTGTGTATGCATATGTGTGTGTTGGGTAGGGGTAAACAGTATTTTCCAAGTTTTTAGCATGGACAGAATTGAGAAGGTTGGGAGGACATAGTTCTTCTGGAGGGAAAGAGCCTAAACACAGATTAGTAAAAGAATTATCCAAGGCATGCTATGCATAGTGAGATATTTAGAACATCACCCTGATTTTCCTTGACTCAAGTGGGCCAATGGGGATGAAAAGATACAACAGTGCCTAATGACCTTGTAATACTAATAGAAAAATAAGAATAGGCAATTTCATGTGCAAACTATACATATGATGTAATGTTTACAACTCTATGTATGTATCACTTCACTTTACAGATGGGAACCTGATCCTTAGGAAGGTTAAATAACCAGCCCAAATCACACACTTAACACAGGACAGAGTTGGGCTTCATTGCCTCCAAAGGGGATGTTCTGCTCTGCCTCTGCCTACAAAGGCAGAGTTAAAGGAATGTTACAAAAATGGCTTAATCCCTGTTCTCCAGGAGGGAGAAAGAAACCAACATTTATTGTACATTAAAAACACTTAAGCACACAGAGCAGGAAATAGATATCCTGACCCATACAGTTTCTTATGTGTCCTCCATTTCTTTCATGTGGATTTGTCTCTTGACTCAGAAAAGTTATGGGCATAACACAGTGGAACAATCATGGATTTTGGAATCAATAGGCTCTCACTGCAGGCCTGCTCTCTGCTTGGACCATTTAACTCTCCCAGTCTCAGCTCCCTGAGACTATGCTCCTCTATAGAATGCGGATATAAAACCATCCTACCTGATTGTTGAGAGAGTGGTGTGATCATGTGTTATGTATCTAGCACAGGATAAATGACCCTAATTATTGCAAGTCATTTATCTCCCACACTGAGAAAAGTCCAGCTCAGAATCTATTATAGGCCTTTAATAAATAGAGCCCAACTAGTCTTTTCTGCATTCTGTTTTGTTTTATAGTCACACATGTGCATGTTGCTTTCTTCAAGAGGAAAAAGACTGTGGTTTATTGGCTTGCATACCCTCTCCCTCCAGGTGACACAGAAAGTTTCTAGCGTTTTTTGCAGACACACCAGGCAGCACCATTTTTACAAATTGAGAAAGGCATGCTTAGGGGAGACAGATAGTAAATATCAAGCAGATGTCAGTTTGTTCCCATATCTACCCTATTATGTAGATATGGAAACTGAGGTACAGAGAGGTTACCAGCCAACTTTCACAACTCATAGCAGGTAGGATTGGGATTTTAAACAAATAGTGTAGTTGCAGGGCTACATTCTTGTTTTACTCTAACAAATATACAGGATTCAAATTTCAGCCCTCCTCCCTTCTACACACCCTCTCTACACACACATACATGCAAGCACACACACGCGTATGCCTCCCATCAATACATAAAAAACTCTGTCACTTAATCTGAGCCAGATCAAGTGGAAGAAAAAGGGGAACAAAAATACATTAGCATAGCCATAACCATCAGTAAATGGAAATAAATATCATAAATTGTTGTAGAATCTATAGTCAAATAATACATTGGGTATAGTAGGAACACAGAGGAGGGAATGCCCAGCTCACCCACGAGTGTCAGCAGAAGTTTCATAGAGAAGGAGAGGCTCTCAGTTTTGAAAGATGACCAACCAGGCATTGAAAATAGGTATTGAAGGTAGTTGGTAAATAATAATTTACTGTGAAATTGGACTATTAATGTTGTTTTGCAAAGTGCAATTGTCAGAATATTAGTTCCGTGGTATTTTTTTTTAAAGGCCCTATCTAAATAGGCTATGCAAACACTTAACTAAATGGGTTGAACAAAGAAACACAATTTGGGATTTTTCTTGATTGTTTTCCTAGTTCACATTCAGATTTTTTCCTTTGCTGATGGGATGTGTCATTTCCCAAGCTGGCAACAGACTATAGTTTGCTCTGAAAATACTGTAATACCCTCACCTAGGTTGCAATTCTTAGGGCAAAGCTACCCCCCAAACAAAAAAAAAAAAGTTTTTGGATAATGCTGATTTAGGGCCTTTCCTCATGTGACGTATTAGGAATGTGAGCTGCAATGGTCACTGCAATATGTTTGTTACATGTCATTACAGTATACTTCCTCTCTTGCAAGCCTTATAACCCAGATGACCATATTGTTTGGCATATTTTAACTCTTTAAAGGTCTTTGTAAGACTTGGCTGATTTTAGCTAACTGCACTTACTTAGGTAACCAGTCAGTCTTCATTCTCCAGATACATTTCTGGGAATTTGTGCTCTTGTGAACCAAGCAGACATTCCTTCATTAATGGAGATGTGATATTAGTTTTAAGTGGCCTTTCTTCTATCACTGGCTGGAAGATAAATAAAGGCAAATAAGAAAGGTGCATATACATCTCTTTGTGCTCAACAGCTATAGCTGTATGAAAAGGGACTCTGGTTAAAATACTTAAAATAACAAAATAAAAGAAACAAAAGTATAATATTAACAACAACACATTCCACTGGTTCTTTTCCACCTACCCATGAAGGATCTCAGCTTCTTCAGAATTCCAGCTTTCCTAGGAGTTCTCAGTGGATTTCTCACGTTAGTTCATGAACAATCTCCTCTTTAAGATGGTAGGTATATTGTTCGGTTGCTAGGCATCCTCGGGTACCACTTTTCTGAGGGCCCTCTTGTAATCAAAGCACTAAACCCATTTAAACTCCATAGCTCCACAGCTATATAGGGTGCAGTGTGCCATGCAGGGGAATATTCCATCCTATAAGTATTATGTCCCAAGAGAAGGGCTCCATATCAGCCACTATGTTGTTCCAGTTTCTACAGTTCTTGTTGAAAAAAACAAAAAAAGAAACATAAACCTCTGTTAACTCATAATGGTCTCACAGAAATGTTTTCATACTTTACCCCACAACAAAGAGGTAAAACGAGTATTAGTATTCTCATTTTATATGTAAAGAATCTCAGCCAAAATGGGTGTCAAAGCAAGTCCTTTTCTTCTGTTGTGATCATTCTTCAAAGCACCATTTCCCACAGTGGAAAACAGTCCTAAGTGGGCTTAGGAGAGATGTTTACAAAATAAAAATACTAGCCTCTATGTTCAGGAAAGATAGCTGCTTGTCAAGCTGTTGGCAAACCAGTAAACCATTTTTACTCTATAATAGTACTATAAGGACTCCACTGACCAACTGCTGGTACTTCCCAGTATTTCTGCTGGTCTTTATTCATGACCACAGGTTCCCTCCTTCTGAGGCCAATTGGTCTCTGTAATCTTAAAACACATTTTTATTGTCTTTATATGCACCACTTCTAAATGGATCTGTACATTTATGTAGCTCATAAGCTAGTCTTTAAGTAGAATTTAAAAAACAATTATTTGAATTAGCCATACCATAACAAGATGGATAGACGTTTTTAAAGTAGATATACCCAAATAAAACATGGAAATGAGGTATGACAATGTATTTACATGCAAAGATTTATAAGCCTATCTATGTATGTGGAACACTGACTCAGATTTCCCACTTACATAGACTCAAACAGTTTTAAACAATTAGCCACTCTACTTGACATGAATTCATTTTTATTACTCATCTTTATTACTTTTGAGTACAAGAATATTGTTTCATTTTACAAATATGGAAAAGGAGGTTCACCTTGAAGGAATGATAGCTGACATGATACTGGGATCATAATCCAGGACTTTCCACTCCATAGATCTTAGCTATTTTACAGCACCTGAATTATCCCAAAAGCTTTTCTAGACCTCACATTCTTTAAGTCTATTCCTTTAATCAACAAATATCTATTATCATCTATGCTCCAGGTATAGTACTTGATTGTTAGGATAGAATTTCTCCTCTCAGGGAGTTTAACTTAAAATTGATGAATTGAGAAAGGATAAGGTAGGGGAGACAGAATCAAGCAGTAAAGTAAATAAGTAAATAAATGAATAAATTCAAATGATACATTTAGAGAGAAGTGATATTAAAACGTGATATTATAAAGAGTTACAGAAGAGGTAAAGTATTTAGTGAACAAAAGAAAAATAAGAAGAAATGAGGTCTGAACATTAGCCTGAGCCACGTAACAGAGGATTTTGCAGGTCATAGTAAAGTTTTGATTTTTTTCCTAAATGCACTGGAGGCCTTTGAGGGGAACAGTGCCACCTTATTTAGATTTTAATAGATTGTTTGACTACTGTGTAGAAAAAGATTGGAGGGGGCAGAAGTAAAGTAGATGTATCATCCAGGAAGCTATCATGTCATTCAGATAAAAAAATGAATGCTTTGAATTTACGGCAGGTAATGGCAGTGATTATACAAATTCGTATAATTCCAGAAGTTTTGGTTTTATTCTTTTTTCCTAGAACATCCAAGTATAGAGAAGTTGGCCACTTCCTGGCTCTGACAACGTCATTCCAGTGATGTTGGTTGCCAGCTTCGGAGTCATTAATCAAGCATACAGGGCCATGGTGCTCCCGGGCAGGCTTTGTTTGGTATCGACAGCCGTCCTCAACCCCACTCACCCATAAGGAAGATGGGTTTCTCTCTGTGCCACCCAAGGACATTCCTGTGGTCTTTTTATATTTTTGCCTGTCTTAATTTCTGAAGTTATTTACTTTTAAACTCTGACAGATTCAGAAAGAGAAAGATGAGAGCTCCATGTAGTGATGGTAAAAATGAAAAGGAGTTGAAAATACATAACGTAGTTATAGATCAGAGAAGAGACTGGCAGAGTGGAGACTATTACTCAAGCATTCCTACTGCCTTTAGTTTGCTTTGATGCAAGCACAGGTTTTGATACTCATTTGCAGCTGACTAGCACACAGCGGATCAAGCCATACATAGGCCATCTCTCAACGGGCACCAATGTTTGACTATGGGATTAGTAATTGAGAACAGAATTCCATAACCTCAAATGATAGATGAAAACAAAGCATGGCCAGGGACTGGAGGAGCTCGACTACCTGGCAGGTTACTGAGACAAATACTAGACTTGACATGTAGCTTGACCCTCTATGGTGTGCCTGTATGCCTATTAGTAACACAATTCCAAAATTCGTTATTTGTGAATACCATCTTGGACATACCTAGCTTGTTTCAGATCTGCCGCTTCATTTAAATTCCCCATCCTCTTTATATTACTTTCTGTGAATCCTTCAACTCAAGTTCTCTTGAAGGACTCTGGGTTTAACTCATCATCGGCTTTCCCTATGAACAATTCCAGTATACCTGCATAGCAGTGTCTCTGAATCAAACTCCTTTTACTTATAACTGGTCAGCACCTTTGTTTGCCCACCTAATTACCTATTCAGGGAGAAAGTGGAAATTCAGATATTGGGATGTAAGCACCCACACACAAAAGAAACATACCTTGTTTTTTGAACTGCCTTCTGGAAGGGTAGTAATTTTCCAGGAACAAACATCATGAGTCTAATCACTGAAGTTGAGGCACAAGATCATAAAAATGACTATTCTTCAAGCCACACTAGTTCTGAATTATCTGTTTCATGGACAGAGTGAAGAAGTGGTCATAAAATTGGAACAGGGATTAAATCTGTGTCAGGAATCACATGATAGCAGCTGTGGACAGTGGGACAATGTAGGAGGTGGGGTACAAACAAGTTTACCCAGACTTGTGTGAGGCAGCCTCACATTCCTCCACAGGAGGGCGTCTAACCTTGGGAAGACAAACACTCATCAAAAGGACTGCTTCAGGAAAAACCTTTCTTTTAATATTTTTATTATATCTATATTGTACTGCTATTTACACATATAATGAAGGCACAGTGCAACAGTAATAAACTAATAATTGCAAATAATCATTTAAAAGACCTCCGATTCTAGAACTTAACACATTTTTTTCTTTTCATATTTGTTTTTCTACATTTTATCTAGTTACAGAAACGTCTGTGTATAGCTCTGTGTACTGCTTTTTTTTGTTTGTTTTTTTGTGGGGGGAGAGAGAGAGGGAGTATGTGTTAGCATTCTACTCTTTCCTTAAGCATACTGGCATGGATAGTTTACATTTTTCTACATAAGCTTTAGGGCTTCACACTGCATAAATTTATCATCTCACAGTTCTGTAGGTCAGAAGTCCAGGGCTGGATTTATTTCTTAGCTCCAGGTCTCACAGGGTCAAAATCAAGAAGGCGGCAAGACTGTATTCCTGAGTGGAGATTCTGTGGAAAAATCCACATCCAAATTCATTCAGCTAATTGGCTAAATTCAGTACCCTGTAGTTGTAGGACTGAGTGCTGCATGTCCTTGCTGACTGCCAGGTGGGTGGCCATCCTTAGTTGCTAGACACTTCTGTCTGGTCCTTGTATGGAGTCTCCTGTATCTTTAAAGCAGCAATGCCATATCAAATCCTGCTTGCACTTGGAATCTCTCTGATTTCCCCTTCTGCCACATACCTTCAGCTTCTTCAATCTCTCCCTCTTCAGCTGAAGAGTGTTTTCTGAGTTTAAAGGCTTATTTGATTAGATTGGGCCCATCCCGATAATGCAAAATTATCTCCCTAATCTTAGGGTTTGTGAACTTACTTACATATGCAAAATCTATTTTGCTCTATATGGTAACATATTCACCTGCTCCACTGATTAGGATATGGACATTCTGGGGGGCGTTTTTCTTTCCAGCCACAGTATACGCCTTTAACAGTGTCACCATTTTTATGTACACTAACATTAAAGAACATTTTCTGAGGATGTATATTTGTTTTCACTTTTGTTTTGCCACTTTACATTATATTTTCTTATTTTCAATTCTTACATTATTTCCTTTAATTGAGGAATGGGATCACTGTGTCATGTTAGAGTACTTTTTTTCAGCTTACTGCTTTCAACTTTTGCTGTATTGAGTTAAAGTAGATTTATACCAGTTTATAAAGTTCAGCCCTAAAAGACTGCAGTTTTGTAACTACCTCACCAGCCTTGTGTGTAAACATTTTTAGATGTGTATTTCCAGTCTAAAGTGTGACAAACATTTTGCCACACATGTATTATAATTGATATGACCTCCTATATGAATTATCTCCAATACTATTTTCCTGAGTATTTTTTGGCATCTTGATGCTCTATATATAAAGAAATTATCCACCTATTTGTCATATGTAGAGAAAACATTTTTCCATATAGGCTGTTACTATGTTTTAGCTTGATATTTTTCAATGCAGATAATATTTTTTAACTACTTAAGTTTGTCATGTCCCTTAATATTGTTTTTTTATTCAAATCTGAGAAAGCTGTTTCTTCACAGATCTTACCAGTTTCTCAGCTCTTCAAATCATCTCATACTAGTGTAGATAATATTTGATCTACCTTTCAAGGATGATTTGCATACTGGGCATTTTTCAACAGAGGGCAGCATTTGGCATTTGTTCTGCTTTGTGGGTGCATATTTTAACCGCAGAGCACCAAATGCTCTGAAAAATTCCTCAGAAAATACAGTGATCAGGAAAACAACATGTAAAAGTGCATTTCTATGGAAACAAAGGATGTATTTTCTTATCACAGAGCTTCTGAGAGAGTCTTAAATATTCTTTGAAATGCAATAAACATTCTTTAAATCAATAATTGTGGTGAAAATAATAAAGAACCAACGTATGTTAGAAAAAAAATGTCAGCTTTACAAGGTAATAATGACAGGAGGTTTTAGCCAAAACTATAGAACAATAAAATATGACTGAATAAGCCAACAATAAGTCTTGAATTTGCTGCAGAAAATGTAACTAATTTGGGGCAAAAACTGCAACTAAAGCTCTATTCTCTATATGACTTAATAAAAAAATGTTTGCATTATATTTTTAATTGTCTTCATCATAAATTCTGAATCCTTTGCATGGCTCACCAGATTTTTTATTTTCTAGCCTGAGGCCTCAAAATGTAAGTAAATATTCCCTATTATAGTTTCCAGGTAGAATATTTCCCACCCTGTGCTCTTATCCTGTTTTTCTGTCTCTGCATTATTCTTATTAGGCCCTAGGCTCTTCTGGGACCTGTCTTTGTCTTATTATCTCTATGCATTGGAATTTGAGCAGTGCAGATAGCACAATATAGTCACTCCTTAAATAAGGAAGGAAATGATATTGAGATATGGATTTTTCCACTTATTAGTTTGGCAATACTTTTATACTTTTTTCTCGAGCACTTCTAGTATTTGCCTAATATATATACAAAATCCCTGACCTTAGCTCATTTCAATAAAAATTATTTCAGTATAATGTACCTTTTCCTTTTAGGGATTTTATAGAATTTATGTGTTTTTATAAGACATTTTGAAATTATTAACTGAAGCATATCAAAGCAACTAGGAACTATAATTCCATTAGAGACCTTGGTTTAGAAATACATCCACTCCCGATTTCCAAATGCATCACAATTTTAGGACCACTGAGGTTGGAGTTCATAAAAGCAGCTAAAACTTTATGTTTTAATAAATCTGAGTTGTCTTGATTGAGAGGAAAGGAAAAAAAATGTTGTGTACCACACACTTTTGCAAGATGGATTAAGTGAGCAGAAATTCATAATTTACAAGCATAAATCCATGACGGCAAGATGGTCATGGAGTGACACAGGCCTGACATTTGGTCTAGCTTTCATAAAGTATAGATAAGAAAATTATAGAATCACTTTTAAAACCCTTATACAGGATAAATTTTCTGTGTTGTTCAGTGTTGAAATTCTTCAAGAATGAACACAAACCACTTGTACTCAGCTAATTGAAGATTTATTGAATGTTTCCCATGAACCAAAGGACTCTGCTAGGTACATGGAATATAATAATAGATGGGATAGTATATAGAAGGGGGGCCAGAGTCCTAGAATAAAACTGTTCATCAAAAAGTACCTTCCTTCTAAAGACGATTAGATATCTAAACAAGTTGTGTCTGTAAATGCTCTTCCCCTATATTCATTCATCAAAATTCTTCAAACCTCATCTCCATAACCCTATTCCCTTCCTAAATTACCTCAAGGAAATCGCATACCTCAGATATTTCTTCAAGACTGGTGTGAGTTTGCTTACGGTGCTGTGAATCACCCAGAGGAAACTGCGTACAGTGGAGAAACTCTTAATGCTCATCATTTCTTCCTGTCACCAGGCACGGCACAAAGTGCAGAACTGCAGAATGAACAAATGAGTTGCATTTCTTTCATCTGCAAAAATAATATGCAGTAGTAATAGTACAACTCCTTTCAGATTCCTGGATCTGATTCCAATACGTGTGTGTGTGTGTGTGTGTGTGTGTGTGAGAGGGTTCTTTCCACACACACAAAACCAAGCAATTCTCAAACCCCAATAGGGTGTCAATTCTGACACTACCTGCACAGAGATTGTACCAGACTCCCCAGGTGAAGGGCTCTGCCCTATAAGACTGCCCTCCATCCACTGACTCCAGATGTCTGTTGCAAGTCCCAGGCACCTGTGCTTCTGACCAACAAGCTACAGATTGGAGGATCACGCGACCTCCCACTTAGATTCGATTAATTTGCTAGAGCGACGCACAGAACTCAGGAAAAAACTTAGGTTTACCAGTTTAATAAAGGTTACTGTAACGTATACATGTTAACACCAGATGAAGAGATACACAGGGCAAGGTCCCAAACAAAGGAGCTTCTGTCCTTGTGGAGCTTGGGGCTGGGCTCAGGGGCACAGGGGAGCTTTCTGGTTCCCCAAGCATGGAAGCTCTCTCCAACAGAGAAGCAGGATCCAACAGAGCACTGTGCTCCTCTCAGTGGTTCTTGTAAGGGTTTCATTGCATAGTCATGACTGACTAAATCATTGGCCATTGGCTGATTCAACCTCCAGCCCCTGCTGCCCTTGGGTGGGTCCAAAAGTCTCTCATTAGTATAACAAGACACCCATTTCACTTTAAGGCTCTGAAGTGTTTCCAAGAACTGTGGATGAAGACCAAATATACCTGGGAAATATATATTTGATCTTCTGAATAACCAAATATGTATTTCTTACAACTCATTATATTATATGAGTTAATACATGAGTGAATTAATGAATGAATGAATAATTTGTGAACATATTTTGGGGTTTACTGAGAGGTTAATTTTGCATTCACATTTGCATAGTTATTCTAATTCTTTAATTCATTTACAATGTTTTGGTTATGTCATTTCAAAATTCCCATTATAATTTTGGATTTGTTCTTTTTTCTTTTAATTCTCTGATTATTTACCAGTATTTATTTTCAAATGATATTACTCTGTTACTTTTTGGTTGATTATTCCTTTTGGTGTTTTTTTCTGTCTATTAATGATTTTTATATTCAATTTTATTTGGCTGACATTAATATTCCAAAACCAGATACTGGATTTCTTCTTTTGATCAGTAGTACCCTTGTATAGATACCTTTTACTTATTAATTTTTAATCTCATTCTTTGCCTTGGTCCCTCCCTATGCTGTGTGTAAATGTGCCTATTACTGACCTAACAAAACTGATATTTTTTTGGTATTCTCTGTGCTGTACTACTGTCCCCATGACCAGCTTACATTGTAATTGTGAATTATTGTATCCCTTTATCCCCTCCCTCCCCCTCCCTCCCCCTTCCCCCCATTCCAACCCCTCTCCTTTGGTAACCACTAGTCCCTTCTTGGTGTCTATAAGTCTACTGCTATTTTGATAAAACTGATTTTTAAACACATATTCTCTCTTCTTAAATTAATTAATATCTTAATAACTTACACACATTCACTTTCTTTTTTACTAGGCTGCTTTGTATGTTCCCTTCTCCTTGTTATCTCTCTCTTTCTCTCTTCCTCTTTTTGTACCACATTATATTTTCTTTCCTTTACTTGTTAAAAGGTATAGATTCTAGTTATTTTTCTTGTGGTCCCCTGAAATTATGAGGATGTACTTTGACCTGCAAACTTTTATATCAAATTTAATAACAGTCAGTGTTTCTACCACACTACCATGAGAGGTGTTTATGTGTTTTAATTGCACATTTAACACATCCTCTTCTACTACCATTATTATGATATAAAGTTTCAGTTTTTGTTTATTCATTAAAAGTAGTTTTATTACTTTTACATTAAGCCCATAGTTGACTTTACTAGAATATTATCAACTTATGTGTCCACCATTTTTCTCCACACCTTATTTCTGCACTCTTTTTTTTTTCAATGTATATTCTCTAGTAACTCTTTTAAGTGAAGGACTCTGGGTGGTAAAGTCAAGAGCTATTAGAAAACATCTTCATTTCCTTTCACTCCTAGTTAGCAGGTTAAAAAGTTCTAGGTTGAGCTTTATTGTTAGCATTTTGGATATTACTCTGTGTTGCTTCTTAGAAATTCTCACCTATTTGTTTGCATGTTTACTTCCATATCCTCTTCTATGATCCTCCTCTTGACAACAAGCTCCATCATTTTGTAGGAAGCTAGGGGAATAAAAAAGGGAGCTGTCTAGAAACAGATAAAAGGTAAGCCAAGAGTTGTAGATACTGCCAATCATCGATATATAGTATCAAGAGAAAGGAGCAGAGAAACTGGATAGCTTCATATTTATATGCTTTAAGGATGGTGTGGCAGAAAGACTAGGCAGTTAGTGAACTAAAGATTCTTCTGACAGAGGGTTAGATAACCAGGGTCTGATTCCTAAAGGCAAAGGAAAAGTCAGAAAAGGGGCGATTTTAATGACTCATTTATTTCACTTACAGCATCTTTTGGTTGACCCCACGTCAAAACAATTCAATGCAGAGGAAATCTGAATCCCTTCAATTTCATCTTCAAACTTAGCCCTAGCCCACCACTTACTTTTCATAGAGGAAGTTCACTGCAGGGGTGGTCTGACCATTTGATATGAGCTATTTTTGTTGCCCACCAAATTGGTCCAGATTAAAAACACAGACCTTTTGATTTATTTCCTCAAGAAGTCTTGATGCTGTTTATCCTAGTATGAAAAAGATTTGACTGGATTTGGGAAAGATCGAGTTTTCCTCAACAATAAAAATTAACTTTGAAGTATTAGGTATCTCTATTCCTATTCTAGAAACAGCCATTTAAAACTTAAAAAGAAAATCCTTAACTATTTCTTTAGCTTTGTCTCTAACATATCCAATATCTGAAGTCCTAGGATGTTATTTTTATCTATTATCTACCTGTCTATCCATATATCTATGTATCTTTGGCTTCTGTCTTTCCTCTCCATTATTTTCCTATTCTCTGATCCCTGTACCTTAGAAGAAAGAGACCATTTATCCCATATTCCGTTGCAACAGAATTAAGTTATATCCATATCTTACTACCAAATAATTAGAGCCTTCTCTTTGGTAAACCAAGGATATGGCCAAAGCTTTGAAATTATGGGTTATGAGGTCCCACTAGAGTGTGCACTAGAGGCTCTTCCCTCCCAATAGATTCTCTTTACTTGCTAGAGCAGAAAACACTTATAGCTGCGCTTGAGTAATCGTTAAGTCTACATATGTCTACATGTTCCTTTGCAAAATGATTAATTACAATGTAATTAAGAGTTTCTTTATATTTGTTTAGAGATAAAACAAACTCTAGCCAGGGAGAGTGCTGTGAAATCAACATATTTTACAGACAAAAGTACTGATTGATGAGTAATTATGAGAAAGAAAAATCATGTATGAAACAAAACTTAAATCATAGAATTAATTTTCACAAATTCTGAATTACAAGGAATTTATGGAAAGAAAACAATGAGACATACCTATATCATATTATTTAACATAAGGTAATTTTATAGAATAAAAATGCACTCTATCCCTAACCTTAGAGAAATTTAACTTCTTGATGCATCTATAATGAGGACATAAAGATACTAATTGTCTTACAGGTTTGCTGCAGGCCAGATGAAGGAAATCAGATTCTATCATTTAATGATTGTATGGCTTTATAAATGACCAAACCTTTTCCAAATATCATAAACTGTAAAATGAGAATGCTGATATCTAATTTCTAATGCTATTAGGGAAATGAAAGAAAATGGTATTCATGAGGGTGTCTCTACAGAGAAAATGTATTTAATCAACTGGAGTCCTTGAATTCTATTCCATTTTTAAAAAGAGTAAATTATATATAAATATACAAACAAAAAGTTAAAACAGAACTGGAAATTACATATTTAAAGAAAATAGTTACAAATATCAGGAATTTATTTTCCTCTAAGCCTTTGTTCTTTTTTCCTCCCCGAATTTTTACTTGTTTTCGTAAAACTGCCTTTGGCTCTAAACCAACACCTTCCAAATGATGTAAAGCAATGTGATGTGGAAATTACTAGAAAGAAAAAGGAATCAACCCCACAGGAACAATCTTTACTCCTTTGAAAGAAGTGATTGTGTAACTACAGGTGGAAATTGTGAGAAGTCTTACTTACTGCAGCATTTCCCCTGTTCTTTCAATATTGGAAATGAAATCACTGTAGAGAGAGCTGTCAGACCCTATATATTACAAATGACCCAGTCATTCTCATTCTGTGTCTTCTTGTCCAAATATAATATATTTTCCACTGTTTTTAATTCCATTTATGAGGGAAAAGACATGCAGGTAAATGTCTGTCTTACAAAATAACAAACCTATTCAAGCCACCAATGGGCTGGAGATAAAATATGACTCAAAACAAAACATTTTCAGAAGACTTATAGAACCTCATCTTTAAAGTGGGTCAGCAGTAACAAAAACTGCTTCCTTCCCTGGTAAAAAATTAACTGAAATAAAATACATGTATATCATGGAACTAATTTGTTATTGTGCATAGTGCTTCTCATTTTAATTTATATGATTTTATAGTCTGTGCTTAGATGACTCTAAGCTGGCATGTAGTTCTTCCTGAGATAATCAGATGCTGGTCCCTATACTGAGAAGTGGTTTTGGGGATTGGCTCACATTATGTCCCCAGCTGTGAGAACATAAGACACAGGAATACCTATGTGATTTAAAGGTTAGCCTCTAGAGCCATACTGCCTTTGTTCAATCTCTGTGACCTTGGTCAAGTCATTTACACATTTTTATTCCTAAATTTCCTCATCTGCCTAATGAGGAATAATAATGGCCCTATCCTGTAGGGTTTTGTAAGTATTAAATGAATTATACATACAAATAACTTAGAAGAATGTCTGGCATAAAAAAATACTTAAAAACAATGTTAGCTATGGTTATTCCCAGGTCATGATATACTTGTACCTGAAGATCTCCAGCGAACTCTAAACCAGCAGGTTATTTCATACATAAACTGACTATATGTCTCCCAGACAGCTGAGAATGGCTATGGAGACATAAAACTGCTAGGTAGAAAGGTAGCCAAGAGCTACAGGGAAAGGAGAAGATAAGGTTCGAGGAAAAAACATCTGCCCAAACTGGGTAGAGGGTCCCACTTGGGGACAACAAAGGTTTTGCAGGCAGATAACTTCCTTGCCTATCAGGTCCAGGCTAAACTGGTCCCAACCAGGTCCCAGCAGACATAATCGAGCAAAAATAAGAAGCGCCCAAACCACACCTCATCATAACCTCATAAAAATAAAATTGCTGTTTTACTACCCCCTCCCCCATGGGCTTTTCTGTGTGCATTTTGGGAAAAGACATGCACATCAAAAGGAATTGCTGTATAACTAGAGCTGTCAATCAAATTATCTCACCCTGTCAATCAAAGAAGTACCTCCCAGCTAGGACATGATAGACAGACCCTCCCCTAAAATTTCGGGACCTTTGTCTACCTTGACTGACTGGCTCTTCCCTTGGAGTGTATTCTAATAGAACTTCAGCTCTGCTTTGCTACTTCATCTCTGCCTTTGAACTCTTTGTTGTGGTGGTGATAAGAACCAAGGAGAACAAACTCAACTGGTAACAAGACCACCCACCCTTACCCCTGAAAAGCTCACCCAGTTTGAGCTTCTGGGCCCTTGGGTAGGAACTAAACAGGAGTTGCCCCACTCAACAGCTGGTTGCAATTTATATTCCTCTCTTCACACAATTAAGTTGTTGTAACCTTTACAGATAAAAGGGACCTGTATCATTTGTATCTTTTCTAATCAGTTTTCTTTCTATTAATCACAATCAACCTGCCAATCACAATCAACTGTCACAAAGGGAATATGACCTTCTGTTGGGGAATGGATGCATTACAACATGGATTCAGGAACAATGGTGTACGAGTGTCCAAAATATTCCTGGATTCCAAAAGGTTTCCCGTGGTAGAAACATCTATTCTGACCCTCAGTTAATAAAAAGTTCTTACCATTACATGCACTCCTTTATAAACCTCCACTGTGACTATCACTGCGTAGGATAAAGACGAACATTTTAACATGTATACCTGCCTAGTTTCTACCTTCCTAGGTGCCAGTGTCTCTTATCTGTACCCACATTGCTCTTTTTCAGATCCTTGAAATGTGCAATGAATTTGAGAAACCTCATTTATGAAAATAATCAATACAATAACACATATCACCTTACACGCATTTCTTTCATTTAGGCAGAAACCCAAACCAAACTAAGAACAAATGCTAAACTCATTGGCTCCTGTGAAAGACAAGACTGGGTCAGAATTCAAATCATGTCACCCAGACATGGATAGAGAAAATAAGGATAGAGAAAATAAGAAATAAACAGAATCATCACCTTAATATTGACTTTGGTCTGCTATAGATATCCGGATCAGAAACTGACAATAGGAGGGAGAATATAAGTGGTTTTATCTAAATAAAAAATGTTTATCAAAAACAAAAAGATCATCTTGGAATTTAGGGTGATACAATGATAAATTTGGAATGGACTCTAGATACCATGCACTCTACCTCCCACTTTACCTATGAAGAAACAGCTTCAGACGTGTTCAGTAACCTACACGAATGTAACAAAGAAGTAGCAGTGTTGGAAAAGAAGACGACTTCCAATTGTAAGTCCAGAACATTTCCCTCTATACCAAAACGAACAGTATATTGCTAACCACTTAAGCAGTTCTTCATATTGACTATTCTTTTGATGAGAATGTGCATTTCATCTCTTTAAATGCACCACTGAATGTTATGAGAAATCTACCATAGAAAATGGCAACATCATGCCCTGGGTTATGTCTAGGTTTGAATGCTTGATATTCCTAGACTTGAATTCTGCCTCTGTCACTTTTTTTTTTAGTGATGTAATCACAAGTTAATCTAACAAAGTCTTAGTTTTCCAAGGACTATATAATAACAATTTGGGGTTACGCTGAGGATCAAACTGGACTTTTGTTTTAAAGATCCTCTTTAAAACCTGGTATACAAATGGTAACCAGTAAGTATCGCTTCCTCTACCACTCCCACCGAGAGGGACACTTTTTCTAGGAGACAAGCTGGTTTAGAAAAAGGCTTAGATCTAAGGATATGACTGGGTTCTAATCCCGACTCTTCACTGTTGTATGTATAACAATGTCTCTGACATTCAAGTTCTTGATCTGTTAAGTAGGGATAATACCTCTTTCATGGAATGTCATGAAAATTGAATGCCTGGCATACTGTAAGTCCCCAGCAATTGCTCTATAGTTTCTTCCATTTCTTGTATTAGCTACCATTTGAATCAAAATTGATTTTTTTTTTGCTATTTTTAAGAGGAGTTAAAATTTATCATGTTTTTAAAATTATCAACCTTGATTTCCAGAAAACAAAGACAATGCAATGAAAAATGCCTACCTATATTTCTCTTTATATACCTGTTTTCAAGAAAAACTACAGCTAAAAAGTCCTAGTAGGAACAATTGGCAGAAATAATGCCTTATAACCATCTAGTAATATCTTTTAGACTATAACAGCAGTGAGCAATGTTCCCTCTTACATATAATATAAATAATAATTACAAGGAAGAAGATAACAATAGCTAATGCTGTACTAGGTGCTTTAGATATTACTTTTCTCAAAATAATCCTCTGTATTATTATCCTCATTTCACAGATGAGGAAACAAGGTTTCTAGGAAGTTAGAATATAACATACCCAGGTTGACACATTTAGTAAGGTATTGACTTGATTTGAATACAGTTATGGTTGTCATCAAAGATGTTTCTCTTTCCATAGATTCTGCTACTCTTCAATTCCAATAACTGAAACATCCTACTTTCCTGTGATAAAGATAAGATATAATAAAAAAATTAAAAAAGAGAAGTCTAGGAAAATTGAGAGTGCAAAAAGAGCTGTATAGCATCCAGCTATTCCTTCCCAAGTTACTGGCTTGCTATTGAATAGATAATAACATGTACAAATAACATATGCCCATAATTGATCATTTTAGTTCACTGGTAGAAAGTAAAAGAGAGCATATACAACCTTTACTTTCCTAGACACTAATCTTATAATTAATGACTGTAACTCCAGGGAGAATACATGGTCCCACCCTGCGGTAAGACATCTTTGAAACAGAAATCAGTTAAAGGAAGAAATAAAGTGGGAGAAACCCGTTTATTGCTTAAAAGCAGTCGTCCACTACTGCTAGCCCATGTCTTTCACCACCTGGCTGCAAAACGGGACCCCATCAAATCTCTCCAGTCCAGATATACCCTTGCTCCCCCTTGTAATCACCTACTGATATGGAGATGGGCTACTTCTCTCAACCCCGTGGAAACACCTATTGATACGGAGATGCACTAAGGCCAGGAGAGAGATTCTGGAAATACTGCAATTTTACCCACAATGATCCCCCCTTTTTCAACCAGAACGAATTAAATTTTGTTAATTAGCAGTTGAAACCAAAAGTGGTAACTTGAGAATAATATGCTTCTATTATGATATAATTTATAAACATCAGATCAATGGTTGTATTAGACATAAACTAAAAATTGTGCATATTTTCTGCAGATGGAAGTTTTGCATAGACAATTTCACTTCCCTTCACAGTTTACAATAAGATAGAAACTACTTTTAAGTCCTCTTAAAAGTAAACTTTTTTTTGGGAAGTGTTCTCTTCTAGACTTGATGCCCTTTCTTCCTATACAATTTGGAAGCATAGCATCATGGACAGCCATGAGGTTGAGCTTCAAGGCTGAGTTTGAGTGTAGGCTCACCTCTTACTAACCATGCAAACTTGAGAAAAACACTCACCATCCTGATCCTTAGACTTCCCACATCTGTGAAATAAGGATAGTCTTTCAGCCCCGTTTTCAGATTTGTTGGATGATCCAAATGAGAAGATGTATTTGAGAACACTTGTATGCAAATTGTAAAAGGCAGATGAAAGAACTGATATTTCAGGTTGTCCAAGGTGTGTGTGTGTGGATAAAATTTTACCTTTTCTGCAAGTCCTTGTTAACTTGTTTTTTCTCTTAAAGTCTTCCTTTCCTGAAAGGCTTTGCTATGCTTTCCTCTCAATGGTGAATAGTTTCCTTTCTGCAGTGCCTCCCTCCCTGACTTTCCTCTCTCCCTCCTTCTTACCTTCTCATATTATGCATTCTACACACATCGTCCTCCACATAAGTTTGTCTTTTCTAATTATAATCACAATAACAAGAACATTGATAATAAAGGTACCTACCATTCACTAAATTTTCATCATGTGTCAGGCATGGTTTATAGCACTTCACATGCTTTATTTCAATCAATATTTGTAATATTCTCATAAAGAAAATATTACTCTCATACTCTTCATGAGGACTCCCCCTCCATCCCATCCAGTGCTTGTGGATTTTTCTCAGAATAACTCTCTCTCTCCCCTTTCTCTCTCACTTTCGGTGCCTTTTCTCTACACCATCTCCTACGGCTGCATCAAGTCTGCTCCTTCTAACTAAGCTTTGCTTCTCAGGCTGCTATAAAATTCCACAGATAGCAGTAGCGCTGTTGTTCTATGGATTCACTTCATTTTTGATTCCTGCTGATTATAAGCTGGAAACAGCTATTTTCCTTTAGAAAGATCACCATTAGATTAGGAGTGGAGTCAATTTCTGCAAGTTTCCTCTATAACCCACTCTCCCAGGGAAAAAACAAACGATGGTACTAAGTTCGCTTCATAGAAACTGATTGTGACATTTTAGTATTTGTTCTAATGGTGAGAACATGAGATTTGAATCAGAGTCGTCACTGTGTCCTCACCATCATCGCCATGCAGCAAAAACTGCCGTGGTTATATCATTTCATAGTTTAAATACTGTTTTCTCATTGTTGGGGAGGAAAACTTTTCCTCTATTCTTCAAGATTCTTCTAGCTGGTCTAAGAATTAAGTCGACATGAAACGGATTAACAGGAGAAAAGAACAAACAAAAAAACTCCACAAAACTTAATTATGTGTACACAGAGGCCAAATAATGCAATTAAGACCTAAAGAAACGGCCGGCCGAAGTAGACAAGTGTTATACTTTTTAGACAAAGAGACAATAAACCTGTGAGGAATTGATAGGACAAAGAAAATTTATGTTCAGGAGCTTCAATTAGTAAGGAAGTCTGAACAAAATTTGGACTGGGGAGTCAACTGGTAAAAGTAACAAGGTGTGTTTGTACAGCCTCCTTGGCTCTGAATTCCTTCTCCCTGGTGAGGATGATAGGGAGACACATCCTTGTATGTGCGGGATCATTTCTTGCTCTCTAGAGACAAAGGAGGGGTCAGTGTTCTTGCAGTGGCTGTATCCTTAAGTAACTTTTAATTCAAAATGGTCAATATGCCCAAGTGGAACTTTTTGGGATGGCCTGCCCTTAGCCTCTAATCATGCAACCTAATCTTACTCTGACTTAGCTAATTTGGAAATCCTTAGAAACCTTACGGTTTTCCCCATATAATGATGCATTTATATGTATGTTTTAATTCATGTTGACCAGGAATGCTAAAGGGGAATGTGAACATACTTTTGATGTGGAGCTACTCAGTGTTTAGTGAGTGGTAGAAAATATTGGTTATGTGTTTGCTTTGTTTCAGGAAAAGTCCTAGGTACTACACATACAGTTCAGTCTCAGAAAGCCCACTGTTTGGTGAGGTTCTGTGAGGCTTAGTAACTTACCCATGGATCAAGGGCATAGCCAGATTTAGAGGACAGGCTTGTTCTCTTTAAAGGACAACAGGCTTTGTGGTACACTTAACTGCTTCACTTACATCTGGGAAGGAAGATTATGTTGTGCACATTTAAAATCATGTTCTTATCAGTCACAGGCAATTCCTTGGTTTTCTTGGACAATTTTGGACATAGTTCTGACTCATGGGATGTTAACTCCCTGCCACTTAGGAAACCAAAAAGATTATTTTTAAGTTAAGTTGTATCTTAGCTGTCCCAAAGTTAATATGACTTTAATTTTTTTCTGAATTTTAATCAGAATGATTCTAGCCCCTGAGAAAATCTGATTCAATAATAACAATAAACATGATAATAAAATATGTAATTTCACCATCTTAGAGATGAAAGACATTAATAGGACTTTTTGATCGATCCGAGTCTTTCTCAAAATTTGGGTGCTGTGAAAACATCCCTTAAATCAATTGGGCCATTTATTTCCTGGTGTTCTCAACTTTCTCCTATACTTGATGATTCTGTCTCTCTTGAATAACTGCAGATTGCAAATCATTTTAATGTTTATTCCTCCAATTGACTTTCCTCTCAAATGTGAATAATTCATCTACACTTCTTTCTGTGAGTCTCAAGTGCCAACTCCTATTGTATGAAATGCTAATGTAATCTTTTTGATTTTTGTGGGAAAAAGAAGAAATAATAAAGTCAATTCATCTTTTAAAACACATATGGCCTTCACTGAATTTCATGTGAGAAACAAAAAGGAAATTAGTTGAAAAATATAACAGATTTGTGTTTATTAAATACTATCTATTAAACTTTTGTGCCATAATGCTTGGTATTTATGTTGTATCATGGGCCACACATGTAAACAAAAATTATTTTTACATTACAGACAAAAATGGTGCTTTCCAAATTATCAGAATGATTAGATCATGAAATAAAATAGTTTAGAGGACACTCGGAGACATAAGGATAATAATCAATGAAATGTGGCTCGGCTTAATAAAAGTTTACAGATAATGGATATGTTGTTAGTTTTTCTCTTGAAATGGGTCCCCAAATTCTGGTATTTCTGCATATTTTGAAGGGAGTCTGGTCTGTAGACACCAATATTTTGGAACTGTCAGCAGAAAAGAATACCAGAGTGAGAGGACAAGATATCAAAGAAAATGATATATTTCTAAACAGTTGCATACCATAATTTACAAAGATGACAGGATCCTTTTCCCAAGGTGTACTGTATTCCTTCTTTACCACTGGTGACACAGAGGCATTTAGGGGGGACATGGAGTAACTAGACATCAGCAAGAACATTGAAGTAACCTCTTTGGACCAACCTATAGAAGAGATAAAGAATACATGGAACAGAATCTAGAAGGGTAAGTCTGATTACGAACTAATTAAATAATTAAAACAAGTTTGATTAGCTAACCAATTTCCTCTAGAATGAGCTTTCTAGTGGCTTAGCCCAAAACTCTGTCCATGGGCCCCTTTCTCCATTTAAAAGTTATACCTATGGCTTGGTAATGATACCAAAAAAAACCCCACAAAAACCATACTAAATTGCTTGGTTGTTATGAAACTCAGCCAAACCAACAATGTGTATGATAGGTGTACTATAAGGAGCTAGCATATATCAAGAACTGTGTTGTGGGCTTTATATGACCTCTTCTAATTTTCACAATTACCCTATAAATTGGTCTTATTAACTTTATTTTACAACTAAGGAAATTGAGTCTTAAAGACACACCCTCCTAATGAGCACTTAATCCAAAAAGAGCTAGGATTCAAATCATGGGCTTACATTCCTCACAGCATATTATTTTTATGCCTGACCTCTGTACTTTATATATTTAGCACCATGGTACAACTAAAGGAGAAATGAGATTATAGTCTGAATCTAGCAAGTTTCAATTATTAAAAATAGATAACTTCAGACACATCTAAAAGTGTTCTCTATCTAAAATGACTTTCCTTTCTACAATCTGCTTTTGAAGTTTTTACTCATATTCCTAGAGCTGGCTCCAAAATTTCCTCCTCAACGAAAATCTCCCAAACAACCTTCCACATAGATGAGCAATTTTCCCCCTCTGATTTTCCATAATGACTTGAGCATTCACACTTTTTCATGCCTTCTTTGCTTTAATTGAATAAAACAAAAATATTTACTTACTTCTTCTTTTATTCTAATCACCCTAGAATCCCTTGAGGGACAGTATCAAGACTGATTTATCTTTAAATTTCCATATACTA